AAGATTTGCATGCTAAATATATTATGCCTTCGTAATGATAGGCAGATGCAGAACACCTGTTATCAAAACTATAACCTAACTCCTAGATGGCGGTCCACCGTTTGTGCCTGATTCAATAAAAAAATGGTTTTGTAGAAATAGAATTTGTGCCGAGTGAGTTGCTGGATAGCAGTGGGGAAGAGCTATATATTTTGTGAATACATGATCTGTGGTCAGGTTTGATGGCCTTTATTTTATCCTGGTTCTTTTCTATATATCCCCAGGCATTTTTCAGTTTTTGCATCACTCCCTTAGTCATGTCAAGATCATGACATTTGTTATAAGATGTTAGGTGAGATGTTTAACCATACAGAAGAGCACAAGAATCATGACCAGTCTAATACTCTAACCAATTCGCTTCAACTTCATCACTTAAGTTTCTTTCATAAGCAAGCTTGACGGGATCCCATAAATAGAACAACATTTGCAATTCGGCTATAATTGCCATTAGCTTGTGACCTATGGATCCATTTCTTCTTTCCATCATCTTATGCTCATGCATCTTTGCTGCAGTGTCTTGGAAAAAACTCAATGGGATGAGGCTAAGGCTTCCACCGGGACCTCCAAGATGGCCAATCTTTGGGAACCTTCTCCAGTTGAGTCCTCTTCCTCACAAGGACTTTGCTCGATTTTGCACCAAGTATGGCCCCCTTGTCTATCTTCGTCTTGGAACCATTGATGCCATCACCACCGATGACCCTGAAGTCATCCGTGAAATACTTATCCGGCAAGACGAGGTCTTCGCTTCACGGCCTCGGACATTGGCTGCTGTCCACCTTGCCTATGGCTGTGGCGATGTGGCTCTTGCTCCACTGGGGCCAAACTGGAAGAGGATGAGGAGGGTTTGCATGGAGCACCTGCTTACCACCAGGCGGCTTGAATCTTTTGCTGCTCACCGAGCTGAGGAAGCTGAGCACCTCTGTGAGTTTGTATGGGCTAAATCCCAGTCAGGTAAGCCTGTGAATCTCAGAGAGGTTCTCGGGGCATTCTCGATGAACAATGTGACGAGAATGTTACTTGGAAAGCAGTACTTTGGGCTGCAGTCAGCAGGCCCTGGTGAAGCGATGGAGTTCATGCACATCACCCATGAGCTGTTCTTTCTGCTGGGCCTGATCTATCTTGGGGATTACTTGCCTGCCTGGAGGTGGATTGATCCATATGGTTGCGAGAAGAAGATGAGAGAGGTTGAGAAGAAGGTGGATGATTTTCACCAGAAGATAATTGATGAGCACAGGAAGGCAAGGGATGGCAGGAAGAGTGGTGCATCCCTTGATGATGATGGTGATGATAGCAAAGAAGACATGGACTTTGTTGATGTGCTGCTTTCCTTGCCTGGTGAGAATGGGAATGACCACATGGATGATGTGGAGATCAAAGCCTTAATGCAGGTATCCTTACTGTTACAGACCCTCCAGTTCATTTTCTTTATGCTAGCTTGGTCTTTTAACCAACTATGTTTGTGCTCTGTCACCATTGCATGTGTTAGTCATGAAATTGATTTCGCTTCATAGTTGTTGTGCAATTATCTTTTTATTAAAGAGCTGACTACCAAAAAGTTATTTTGCGACACTCCTCCCTTTGAGAATTTGATAAATAGAGTAGATAGATGGTAAAAAGAGAGTAGGGAGTTCACTGTTTGATTTCACAGCAGAGTTTGTAATTTGCTCTTTCCCCCAGAAGTTTGGGTTTTGTTATCATAAGTACGAGTAGTTGTTCTTGCTTGCATTAAATAAACCACCATGTTATTTTGTTTGTAGATCATCTTCATTTAGGTTTGTAGATGTTTGGTATTACAAATGAACACTGCTGCTGCTGTTAAAAGAGAAAGTGCATATGAACATGCATACATGATCATTCTGAATGTGTGTATACGCAGGACATGATCGCTGCTGCTACGGATACTTCATCAGTGACCAACGAGTGGGTGATGGCCGAGGTGATCAAGAACCCCCGCGTCCTCTGCAAGATCCAGGAGGAGCTCGACGCCATCGTCGGACGAAGCCGCATGGTGGTGGAGTCGGACCTCCCCCACCTGACGTACCTCCGCTGCGTCGTCCGGGAGTCCTTCCGGATGCACCCGGCCGGGCCGTTCCTGATCCCGCACGAGTCCCTCAAGGCGACGACGATCATGGGCTACGACATCCCGGCGCAGACGAGGATCTTCATCAACACCCACGCGCTGGGCCGGAACCCGCGCATCTGGGACGACGTCGACGAGTTCCGCCCCGAGAGGCACCTCCCGGCCGACGGCGGGCGCGTGGAGATCAGCCACCTGCCCGACTTCAAGATCCTGCCCTTCAGCGCCGGGAAGCGCAAGTGCCCCGGGGCGCCGCTGGGCGTGATCCTGGTGCTCATGGCGCTCGCCAGGCTCTTCCACTGCTTCGACTGGTCCCCGCCCGACGGCCTCCGCCCAGAGGACATCGACACCGACGAGGTCTACGGGATGACCATGCCCAAGGCCAAGCCGCTCATCGCCGCCGCTCAGCCGCGCCTGCCGCCGCAGATGTACGGCTCCTGTCCTAGCCATGGCATGCAGATGCAGTAAGCTCGAGCAAAACATGCAGGGATGTTACCACAAGAATGGTTAAAGAATACATACATACATACATACATTGATACATACATGTAATCTGAGATATTTCAATGCAGAACAATATGAATCGAATCATTTCCAGATCATTCACTGTCTCCACTCTGGATCTTGCGTTCATATGTGTAACTAATTCGATCTTGTTCATGCATGACCAGAGATAGTAGCTTTGTAGTAGATGCATGCACTTATCTTACTAATGCACTGAACCATTGAGGCGAGCAACCATGACAAAATGGGCGCTGCAGGCTAAGAAACAATCATCTTCTGATGCAGAAGTTGTCGTGGGCTTCATCCATGGGAAACGCTTCCTATCAACCGGCGGATCGCAGCGGCCGCGGCCGCCACCTTCCCTGGATGACATGCATCAAGCGAGGGTCAACGTACCATCCTTCATGCAATAGGAGCTATGCTTCTGAAACATAAGTGGTATTGCAATGGTCTACGATGGATTTATGTTTTATAACAAAACGTCTCATGAAAATTTTCTACAACAAGATCTCGTTTGAAAAAAAAATTACAACAAAACCTCAGTTGCAAAAATGTTTTTGCAACAAAACAGTTGTTGCCAAAAAAAATCTGCAACAAGACCCGTATTGCAATGGTGAAGACGTGCTCGGCCGGTCGATGCGGCAGATCACCCGGCGATGCGTAGCACGCCCCTTCATCCATCGATCACTATGTACTCCCACGCCATAAAATGCAGAAACCACTATAGCAGTATAGCTCCATGATCACAAGCTCCAGTCCTTTTTTTTTAAAATAAAACATCCTCTTTATTTATTAGTAATAATGGTTACATCATCTATAAAAAAATTACAATATCGTTCATAGGTTCCTCAAACCAATCCCTTGTCTCAGAAAATTTGACTACTCTAGCAACTTCATGAGCTACTTTATTTGCCTTTTTATTATAGTGTTCAAATCTAACTAACGAAAAATCACAAGCCAAAAAATAGCAACCATCAAACACAGCTGCCGCCGCTCCCGCTGTATGTCCTCCATTCTTCATCGTGTCAATTACTTCCATATTGCGGAGTTAACAACAAGTCGGTTACTTCCCGCCTTTTGTGCAAGTAATAAGCCAAAACGTAGTGCCATGGCTTCTGCTGTTAAAATATCTGCACACCAATCCATCTTCCAATTCCCTCCAACAATAAATCTTCCTTTATCATCTCTAAGTACAGCTCCCGTTGTGCCTCTAAGCATGTCTTGATCGAAAGAAGCATCGACATTTAATTTCACAAAACCTAGAGGGGGTCTCGTCCATCCCTCTATTTTATTTGTTCCCTTGGAAGATTGGGCAATAACATAGTTCGTCGTTATAGCACGGGCTCTCATCAAAATTTGGTATGCATCTTGGGTCTTCCGCTCATGAACTAGCGAACGTCTTTCCCACCATAAATACCAGGCTGTTATAGCGATCAGTTCGCGAACATTCTGTGTGCCCATTGTAGATAGCTCATGTTTTGGCATAAAAATTAGAAATTCAAGTACTGCCTCTCCCGCACGATCGACCGCACAGGCTTTTTTAATGACTTCGTGCAATCCTAGTTTCTCCCACACCTCTTTTGCCTTTTGACATAAAAATAATAAGTGTTTAGTATCTTCATGCCCGTTCGAACATAATGGGCAGATGGGTGAAATTTTTATATGTCTATTAGCAAGTGTAACACGATAAGGGAGGATTCCATGTAAGGTACGCCAAATAAAGATCTTCACTTTTGTTGGACAAGATAATTTCCAAATCCTAGCGAGGAGAAACCACGATAATCCACAAGCAAGCGGTAGCTATAGAAAGATGAAGGCCAGCGGCTGTGGTGGCCCACGGCACGGTGACCGGCGGCGACGTGGACGCCAGCCTGCACCCTTGCGTCGGGTACGCGCCACCCGCCGAACTGCGTAGGCGTGAGCACCTCAGGGCGCTGCCGGCAGGGACGCTTAGTAATTGCTATATTCTGTGGTAGTGCGAACATATTTTTTGTGCAGGCCACAAACAAGACTACTCCCTCAGTTCACAAATATAAGATGTTTTGGATATTTCAACGTGAACTTCGTACAGGCTGACTGAAATGAGTCAACAAACACACTAAAACGTGTCTATATACATTAGATTCACAAAAAAGTTTGAACATCTTATGGATATTTGTGAACAACGGGAGTACTATTTCCCAACAACTCTTTCTACACGCCTAAAGCCAACGAGGCTTAACCAAGAAGTCTACTTCAAATTAGAGTAAACAAACAACAAGCAGCCTCTGATCACCTGTTGTTTAAAGAACTAGAGTAAAACCTAGCAAAAAATACATCTGATGGGTGGGATGGCTCACAGTTATCTTATACGTAAGATGTGAGCATCTGACAAGGAACATCACAACTTGACAAACTTGGCGACGAAAAGTCCACTAGTTTGCGACGCCGCGGGGTCGAATCGCAAGGTTTTCTGGATGTCGCCGCTTCTGCAGGGCCAACTATCGGCTGGATCGATCTTTAGCAGTTCTGCAGGTTGCAGGCCCAACATGAAACAATCCATTTATAGAAGTGATAATCAACATAAATATTAGATGAAGGCAGGTAGCAGGACATCTGTACCTGCTGAAGGATATTTTGAGAGGAATTGCTGAACCACATTCTCGTTTTGTGCAACAGTCAAGCTATTCCAAGACAAACTGTTAGTCATGTGATGGCATGAACTATAAACTGTACTGAAATTCTAAGCACGGTAAAGGCTAGACTACTGAGACGCAATTGAGGACTAGATTTGCATGTGAAGAGATACGCACCTGCAAGTACTATAGACAAGTGATCCGCCTGTTTTCAATAATTTAAAACCATTTGTGAGAAGCCCTAACTGCATAAGATCATCAAAGTTCAGTAAATATCAAACATAAGCTTCTCATCTACTCCCCGCGTCCCAAAATATGTGTCGCTGATTTAGTAAATAAGTGTCGCTGATCTAGTACAACTAACTTTGTACTAAATCAGCGACACTTATTTTGGGACGGAGGGAGTAGCTAATTGTTGGATACAGATTGCTCGGTCAAGAGCCATTCAAGCAAACATCAAGAACGAAGTAGTACCTGAAGATGAAGTAGGTTGCCAGTTCTTTCTACGTTGAGTACACGGCGGTCTAATGTTTTCCATCCCCAGAACTCAAACTTCTGAATGTGTTTTATCGATCCATCATGAGTACATTCTGCATCCACTAGGACCTGCATGCATTTCATCCAAAGGGACAAATGAGATGATACAAGTTGCCGAATAAGTTGCAGTAGAATATTCCAACCTCAAACATAAGCTGCATCTGATAGAGTTCTATAAAGTGCTTCAGTACTCTTTCAGAAGGTGAAAAGTGTTCCCTCGTCCTCAAACAGAATGAGTGAAAGGTACACTTTTTAGAGCTAATTGACAGTCTGATTTGCAGCTACATGTGGAGTTGGCTATGATGGCTTAAAAAATCAATGGCAGCAACGTAGATCATGCATATTTCCACTTCTTCTTTTTACTAATCAAAGTCACAAGAGTACTTGTGTAGTTCAGTAAACGATAACACTAGCAGTTTACAAAATAACACAAGCAAAGGAATACCTTATCATACCCAGATGTACAGGCAGCAGCATCAGTTGATGGGTGAAGAACATAACGTTTTTGCAATCCAATTAATCCTGAATCTTTGCCATAGTATATCAGTTCAGGTTCGGAAGTTGATGGTAGATGAGGTGAACCGGCTGCTTTTGCCTTTTTAGACTTCTGTCTGTCTTTCCATGATCTCTTTGAAGTCCATTCTGAGAATATGCTTCCATTATCCTCAATTCCAACAAAAGCTGTGACAAAGAGCATGAACTCAAAACAAGCTAAATCATTCATACGTGCAGAAGAAGTAAAACAAAAACGGGACTGGATTCTTCTGCTGAAAATACCTTCCATGCTCCCCAGATTGGAGTTCACAGGCAATATGGAAAACAAAGTCCCATCAGCAACAAAGAGCCGACTACGATCTCCAAGAGAATACTTCTGCAACATCGTACGACAGGCTGCAAGACGGTGCTTTGCAACATCAACACCAGTCAAAGAACCTGTGCTACCAAGCATATCTGCAAGCATGCAAAGCTTTGCACCTTGCATGTCATATAGATGAAAGGTTAGTATATCCCTGAATAAAAATCCAACAGATAGCAGAGGTCTAACACAAGCTACAGGATCCATAGCAAACAAATCCCTTATAACAAACTAAACAATATCATCACAAGGATGGGGAAATATGTGTTGAACTAACACTACTATATTGGACATGTCGGAGAATAAAATTCAACATACGAACCAAACTAGACACCGAACCGGTCCATCAAACAACAGGAATGTAAAACCCCACTCTCCTAAATGCAACATACCTGCCATACTTGAAACTGTATTTTGTATGATATCTAAAGATCAACAATCAGGAAAGGCTTTCCATGTTTTTATGCCCTTGAGAAAACTAGGTCTTGCCATATTGGTGAATGCATGCCGCCCACACAAATATTCGGTAGGGGTGCTCCTTTATGATTGTAGGGTAGACACTGGCTCTAAGAAAACATTGGTCCAGTGTGTACTTGAAGTATATTAAGTTACCTGGTGCAGTACAGAGGTCAAGAACATGGTCTCCTGGTTGAACATCGAGTGCTAAGATGGCAGCTCCAGAAGCTGCATCAATCCCATAGATCTGAAATGTTTTTAAAGATGCTTAGGTGAAGCAAAATGTCACGCACAGAAGAGTGCATGATAAGAACATGACAACACGGTAGCTTTTTACTGGGAAATTTCAGCTTCTCCTACTCCCTCTGTTCCTAAACACTCCCTCTGTTCTAAATATTTATCTTTCTAAAGATTTCAACAAGTGACTACATACGGAGCAAAATGAGTGAATCTACGCTCTAAAATATGTCTATATACATCCGTATGTGGTTGTCCATTTGAAATCTCTAAAAAGACAAATATTTAGGAACGGAGGGAGTATAAGTCTTTCTAGAGATTTCAATATGGACTACATACGGATGTATATAGACATACTTTAGAGTGTAAATTCACTCATTTTGCTCCGTATGTGGTCTATATTGGAATCTCTAAAAAGACTTATATTGAGGAACGGGGGGAGTACAATTAACAACAAGTGTGTCACTTGGCTTTATGAGAGAATCCGTTACAAATCAGGTGTCAACCACAAAAGTACAATGAGATTGAACAGCTTCAGCTTAACTTGTACCATCATGGCATCACCTAACTGTTACCGGTTTGAGGCATTTGGTCTCTTAGTAAACAATAGAACATAAATGTTATTCGATTGCTATCTAGGATAAATAAATTGCCTCAGTACACTTGACAAAAATCTAATAATAAGCACATTAACATCATAGAGTCGCATACAATTAGACTACGCTGAGCAACATGGGTCAGCTTCAAAACAATCGTAACAAAAGTTCCTCCTCACCTTCCCTTGCTGATAAGCCTTGGATCCAGCAATCTGAATTTCAGGCGGGATCGCATAGAAGTCTGGCAGCCACGAGACCTTCACGAGATCACACTTGAGCTCGCTTTCGATCTCTGTCACCACACTGGACTCCGTGCCTGGTTTTAACCTAGGGATGTCGGAAACAAGTCAGGTTACTCTCCTCTCCTTTGCACCCTTCATGTGACGAATTGCTAGTGGATGGCAACCTTGGCGAGTGTGAAGGCTTGCCTCACCTGATGTAGCGCGGGATGGTGTCCGCCTTGGAGTACAGCGCGGGGTCCAGGCCATTATCGCCGAGGAACTCGAGAAAGGCCGCCGGCAGCGGCAGGGACGCCGGCGCCGGCGGCTGCTCTTCTCTGAGGTCAGAGGGCGGAATTTCTGAAGAATCCATCACTCTAGAGAGTAAAGAACCTGACTCCTCGGGTCCGAAGGGGTGCGAGGTCTCCGGCAGTGGTGGCGTCAGCCTCCTGCCCAAAGCGCGCAGAGGCGGCGGCGCCGGGAGGACTGGACTCGGGGCGCAACGCACGGTGTGGAACTTGGTTGATCTGGGCCCTATGTTTCAGATCTGACGCTCGCAAAAGCACACTGGACTCGACCAAACCAGAGAGTCGGTTCGCTTTAGTCATGTACAGTACTAATTCTGTAATTTGTATGTCGAATGTCGCAGTCTCTTGATCAATAAGGCGCGATATTTCTCGAAAAAAAAAAGAGAAATCGGATTTGCTTGGATTATCTTGAGCAGCACACAACAGAGGCAACGCAAATAATTACTGCAAAGGTAAGGAGAAACATATGGCCAAAATTTCTGCATGAATACATCCTATATGCCTGGCGGCAAGTACATTTCCATCAACTTCCCGGCACAAGTAACAACATCACCACACCGAGGCCCTGTCTGGAGGCAAGAATTTCACCGGAATTTCACAAGGAACAATTCAATTTCCTCATGAATCAAGAAATATACCCGCCTTCCAAACAGGATCCTAACAGGTCCATTCGCAGAAAGAACATTCCACATATCATATGGATCTTTAATTTTTAAAACGGAATAGCTTAATAAATGGACATGAAAAACATGCAAGCTAAGGCCATCTTTGATTTGCAGGATTTTCAAAACACGGGAATAGGAAAAATATAGGATTTGAGTGGCATGTCCACTTGAATCCTATAGGATTAGCATCGAGTGTTTGATGCTACATGAGATATAAAGGAATTGAAAAAAGAGGTTGGAGTGGATGCTAGATTTCCAATAAAATGTAGTACACTTGATTCCATAGGAAAAAATTCTATAGGATTAAATCCTATGAATCAAACGACAAACATAGGAAAAAATCATAAGGATTCTAACCCTCCAAAAATCCCACGGAATTCCTTTGAATCAAAGGAGCCCTAAAAAAGAAGTTCACATATGGTATTCTTGTATATTTGAAGGAGTACAATGTGCATACAGACATACTTCATATACAAGGTCCGTCTTGTTGGCAGGACTCTCCAAAGTAACGAAGTATACCAACAGAATCAGGTTGCATCTTTGGGAGCACCTGATGGATTTCTAAGACAACAAACACATCTACACAACTCAATTGACCTTTATGATGTGGCCGCCCTGTTCCGGGCAACAATAGTACAAATCAGTATGCTATCGTATCTTACATATCATTGTACAAAATTTCCGGTCTTCCTGTTGATTTGTAGGAAGAATGTATCCATGGAGAGCTGGCCAACTCGTAGCAAAATTAAGAGCTCAATTCTCCTGGATCAACAGTAAATGCACCAACCGTCAGTATGTTCCGTGCATGACAGGTGCATGAATTAGAAAGTTTTCGAATTTATATTACCTTCCCCCCAAAAAATATGTCCAAGATCTCACTACCTTCGGTGTTATGAAGATTCTTTTGTAGAGTTCAACGGTATCTCGACATGTCGAGGGCTTCCTGGGCTGACTTTGCTGTCAGCACCCTGCTGCTGGTTCACTTGGGGTTTAAGCTTATGATTGTTATATGCAACAACACCTACTATGGCTGTACATTGCAGAAAAATGGAGTCACCATCTAATCCACTTCTAAATGCAGTTCTTTGAAAAAAAATTGTTCAAAAAAATGGCTCAAACCTAAAGTATTCACAAAAAAATATAATCCAGAAAATATCAGGTGCAGGTAATTTTTTAGCCAAAAATGTGCCCAAAGATATCACATAAATTATGAAGTTAAATAAGTCAGATTACGAGATTAATCAGTAGAATACCTATGGCATAGCCAACTATGTTTATGAAGGTAAGCTTTGTATCAGCAAAAATAGCAGCTGACAGCAGCACCACACTCCAATCTCTCACAACTCCAGTAACACGAGCTGTCAGTGCACTTGTCCGGGAAATGACAAGGAAAACTGACAGATTAAGTACGAATGTGCACATGCAGTTTAAGAACAATGTAACTGGTGGGAAGTTCCATGAAATACTTGCATCCATCTTTGGCTTCTCTAAGAACAACCAGGGAATGAACAGGCAAAAGGCACTGCAGGAAAATCACAGATTAAATTACAAGAACAAACAGTAGTTTCAAGAATTAATCTGGGGAGCTGGTGGACAAGATACCTGCAAGGGCTAACATAGTACATCATGGATATCAAGTTCAGTCTAACACCCTTCTTCTTCAAAAATATCTCGATAAAGATAAGTCTAAGGGCTTCTGCAATAACTCCACCCATCTGATATACCACTCCGACCCAGCTGATTGTAATTTCACCAACAGAGGCCACAATAACTCCCACGCTGATGATAGACATGATAGCAAGCATTTTACAGTTCATTTCTTCAAGGCCAAATGCTGTTCCAAGGAGAAACACAGCTACAGGCACTGTAATGCTCAAGCAAAGAGTACATTAGCATCAGTTTCAAAACCGATTACAACCTACGCTTGACCTTCTCAATCTAAAACCAGAGATTACACATACTTATTGCCTTCAACATCTGTGCAAATGCAACAGATATGTAGAGGTATGCACTGTTCCCTAGCCAAAGTGTCATTGCAAACATTGCTCCAATTGGAATGACTGAACTCACGTATCTGAAATTTCAGGTGAGCTAGTTAGAGAAATAATACAATCCCAGTACTTTGAATTGAACAAAGAATCTAATACAGGATGGGAAAGCAATAACGGCTGCAGGTCCGTGCTTCAGAAAAAGACCAGCATATTTCTTCTCACGAAGAGTGGTATCGAGTATTGACTTATGACAGGAATAGTGCAGAGCTTCTTAGTGTGTGCCAGATGCAAATTTAATTAACGTAAATATCTACTGATGACCATCATGCTAGACTTTCAAGCCTCTGACTTGGCATTTTCTTATCGGTTTCCTCCTAAGTCACAATCTTAACAATATGGTAAAACTCGCTCACTAATCTTGACAGCTAAAGCAGGCTAATGTACTTACACAACAAACAGCAGAGCCCCCTGTTACTGTACTTGCTATCCACATATTGTCTGATGAAAACCAACCTCATTATTTAAAATGAAGGGGTGGTGTTTGTGCAGCATCTTACGAACATGCTAGAATATGCTAATGTTATGGAAAATCCACAAATTATTCATATCGGTTCATACATGGAGAGGCAGGCATTATGGATGTCTTAATCATGAGGTGATACGTCACGGAACATAATATACTGACAGAGAACAATTGAGAGAGTAAGAAACTACAATACAGCCTTATGAATTTTGTATTATCCAAGACTCACACATCTGTAGTCATTCCTTCATCAATCTTTATGACCTATAAAAATATTATCAAAGTAAAAAAAATATAGTAAGATTACGGATTTCTTGAACTTCAAGTAACTTGAATTCCAAACAGTATGAAGTCTTACTTATTACACAGATTAGAGATAGATGCGGCAACCATGTAAAAATTTGATGCTAGGTACCTTGAAAATCTTTGTAGCTGCAAAGCATACTACAGATGAGAAGAGCATATGCAGCAAAGTTAGTGCCACTGGATAGGGGAAGTTGATCTCTTTTGAGGATAACACCCACTGCAAACCAGGATAAACAAAAAGAATTCATCAGTTTAAGCACATCAATGAAATTATGAAAGCACTCCAGAACTAATTATCCCAAATAGAAGTATGTTACAAAGCGGGTTTTCAATCTTTTGAAGCAAGGCTTATCGAAGTTCACACTTGAATTTGTACATACAGAAATGCCAGCATCAGTATTTCTATTTGTACCACAATTTCTTGGAGTGTTGTTAATCTTGTTAATATTGAGTTGGGCCGAAGAAACAAGGAGAGAGAATAGAACAAAAGATAGTGCTTACTGCTCAATTTCCATGAATCATTATAGTGGAAGAAGATGCTATCCGGTTGGTCCAAAAAGATAGGCATCTTGAGAAGTGTCCATGAATTGATTTATATGTAGCACTTGGCATGGCCTGCAGATTGGAGATTTTTTTGCAGCTCCACTTAAAGCTAATGGAACTCGGTGCAAAAGACCTCCATGAGCCTCACGTATCGGTGTACCAAACTAAACTAACAATATAGTAATAGCAAAAGGGAGTCCAGTTACTTGTTATGGAAGCGATATGAGTTATGACAAGAGAACCTGGGTCAACCCTTCGCATGAAAAAGGGGTCCAAGTTGAGTGAACAACCCAAGCAAGCAACGAACTATTCCCAGATCTCAAGCTACTGGACTCAGAGGCAGAAAAATGTACCCAAACGCCCACAAATTTTGGACATAATCTGGCTATTCAGGTGGGCGATCGGCTTTAGAAAACTGATAGTAGTCACGAATGAGACTCATTTTGATGAATTGTAGGATAAACGCTTGCTACCGCAAGTATGAGAAGAGCCGAAGCTCAAAATCGCATCCCTGGGCGTTTACAATCACACCCTCTTTAAACTGAAAACGCTTACGCTGCAGTAGAGACAGAGACAAAGATCCGATCCATCACAAATGTCCGTCTCGTCTCCTCCGCGCGGGGAGAGCAGCAACCGGATCAGCCTTCGAATTCGCGGTGGACTGCACGCTAAAACCCTAGAAACCCAGGACGGCGCGGAGTCGCCTGACGCGGCCAGGCCAGACGCGAGACCGCGTCCGTGTCGCGCAACCAGGAATGAGCAACCGCAGCGACGAAACTTGCCGCGGCTGGCAGGATCGCGGGGTGGTGGGCCGGAGACGCGGGGCGAGGAGGATGAGAGGGGCTTGCCTTGTTGAAGAAGATCTGGCCGCCGGAGATGGCGATGTAGAAGAGGAGGTGGAAGTAGGTGACGGCGCCGTCCCGCCACGCGCCCTTCCTCGGCGCCGGCGCCGGCGCCGCCGTCTCCGGCTGCTGCTGCTGCTGCTTCCCGCCATTTCTCTCCATGGCTGGCTGCTGTGGGGGAATGGAGACGGAGAA